TTCAGGAGCAAACGTCCGGTTGCTGGCTTGATAAGTCAATGCATTAGAGTAAAGTGGAGGAGTTAAAATAAGTTGATTAATGACGATTGCAAAGATTTACATTGATCATCTGGGACAAACCAATCAAAATTTCAGTTAAGAAACGTGAAACAAACTAATTTAACGTTTTAAACTTACTTAAAGGCGTTGAGGAAAAGTTTTTCAGTGATGTATTCTCTGCAGTTGGAATTTTCGAACGCTAGGTAGAATTTATACCTTTGCTTCAATAGCTGTGGGCATTTGTCACTATAATGCCCACATCGGAGGTGGCCACATTTGCCGAAGGTATCCACGGGCATAAAACGCATCAATTCGTTTATATACTCCAATCTGTGGTTGCTGGTGAAGCAGTTGGAGGCGAACCACGCTGCCAGTCGTGTCTTTCCCTCAGCGTAGTTCTTATGATGAGGATCAACAGACGGCTTAGCGTCAGTATCGTAGAGAAGAAACTTGCCGTATGGTGCGACGATGTCAGAGTCCATGCGGTAGGTCGCGGTCCAATTGATTCCGTCCCCCAAGGCGCTGAGATCAGGCGTGTTCATTGGCGATTCAAGGCTATAGAAAATCCAAATCTGAGATGTGTGGTGGCGTCCAAATGGAGGTGCTCTGCCGTGAACGATGACAGCATCAGCAGAAGCTCCCTCACCGTGATCAATGGTCAATTTACAGTTTCGAGCGATGCAGTCACGGAACTCGTCGCCTTTTAGATGATCACCACCATCAAGCCATGGCAGCAAATCGGTCGCTAAGTAGATCACTCGTGTCCGAGTCTTCTCCGTGGTCCGAGGGAAAAACGTAATCTGATCGATAATGCGGTCCTCTTCCCTCGAGTCTTCTGGCCATATAATCCTGGAGCTACGCACCTGCTGTGGAAATTCAACTCCATCACGGTAATCTTCCTTTGATTGCTCCAAAGGAATGTTAATATCGGTGCGAGTGACGATCACTATGAGGTATATCAACACGTATGCACAGACCACACATATTCGCTTTTTTCTCACGTTAGCCATCGATCATCTGGCGACCTCTACTGGACGTTGCGGGGCGCGGCAGACCGAGTCACGCTGACCACGGCGTCTGCTTTCTGAGGGACGAACACCGCGATGAGTTCTTCGATCAAGAGCCCACGACGCGTCGTTTGCGTCGACGTTTA